TTGGTATTGTCGCTTTTAAAAGAATCGAAACGAAATAATCGTTTAACAAGCTGCGTAGGATACTTGGACGCGGTCGAAACGATCCTGCCCTAAGAAATGAGAGCCAGAAGTTGAACCGTTTTGCGTGCCCGATTCTAAAATATATATAAAGGTTACATTCCCAAACCGCTTATAAATTAAAAGAAAACTGTTAAAGCCGTAGAATCTTAACCCTTTGCACTCGAAGCCGCTTCAACTGTGAATCTAACACAATCTTTCTGGTTCATAGCATACAAAGTGCATTTTATGCATATGAAATTGGGTCTCGCTATTCATACGACACAGTTAGACTTTTAATGATCTTTTGAAATCTAAACTTTGATAATATAACAATTCTCTTGGAACGTGATATAACAATTTTAGCGGTGCCTCGGAGTCGCCACTCGAGTGCAAAGGGTTAAAGCTCGATGTCAGTCGCGCGAAACTACATTAATGTCTCTCTAATTGACGCTCAGATTGTCCACAAAAATTGGACAATTCGGGAACAGGAGATACGATTATTCGAGCCTTGCGGCTTCGTTTTCATAGTTAAGAATTGTTAAGAACAATAAAAACGAGCTGCAAGGCTCGAACAATCGTATCTCTTCTTCCCAAATTGTTAGTTAGCAATTAGGGCGACATTGGTGTACTTTGAATTTAGTTAGATTTAGATATTTAAACAAAATATCTCTGTCCACGGTGAATCGAATGTTTCTCGATCGACCAAAAGGTGTCGAAGTCGAAGCGAAAATCGTGGAATGCGCCGCGTAAGAAAGCATATGTATAGAGTCCTTGAACGCGTGGGAGATAGCAGGCAAATTAATACGTTCGCTATCACCGACGCACGTACACACGTGACATCCGCGAGTTAATAATGCACGTAACGATAGTCGCATGCAATTTATCTGCATTATTACGTAAACTCGTGACGAAGAGCATCGTGTTCAAGGAATTCACAAGGAATTCTTTCTTTTCGTAGAATTCTTTGAATGCCGTATATAAAGGGCTCGCGTCGCGTTTCGTAAGATAATTCAATAATAGGATTAGTTAACGAGCACGTTAAGAAACATCGATCATAGTGCCGAGAAAAAACGACCAATTATCGAACGAACCTGTTGAGTCTCGGCGGATCGGAAAGTGCCTCACGCTGCGCTTTTCACGAGACACGGCGCGCAGAGGAAGGCAAACACAATACCGCCGGCAAGGATCAAAGCGATCATGGCTAGGATTGTCCATGTGTTAGAGGCGGAAGTGACTCGGGTAGACAAGAGTCTCTTGCTCGCCGGTAGCTCGGCGACTTCGTCCGTATTTAGCCCGAGCCTCTTGGCCTTGCCGAGCAAGAACCTGAGGCGTCGCGACGCTTTCTCACAGGACATGTCCTCGACGTCGTCCTCTCCACCTCGGATTTGCGTTCCACAAAGTCTTCAGACCGCCCGGCGACTTCTGTCGTTCATTATCCTCAATATAATCAGCCGGCGAATGGATGGAACGTTTCGTAGCTCTCTGTTTCAGGAATTCCGTTTGACGAATAATTCACCATTCGCTGGCTTACACAATTGCGCAGCATCCAGATTGCTCTCTCGCGAATTTCGAACGGACTTTTGTGTTAGGAGTCGCGTCTTCTTCTGGCATCGTGCACCCGGACTTCGCGTGTATTTAATTGCTATTTCAAGTCGACCCGATCAATTTTATTCCTCGTTCGTCCGCGACCCTCCTGACGATCCAACGAACGTCTTCGCTCCTCTACGGTGCTGTCAACAGAGAATGGATAATATTTAGCGGATAATATGCAGGAAATTCTCCCTAATTCGCGATCGGATTGTCCACGATAATGGACAATTTGGAAAGTGGAGATTATTGGAGCCTTGCAATTATAAAAATGAGCCGCAAGGCTCGAATAATCGAATTTACTGTGTATTTAGGCGAATAAGTGAAATTTAAAAGAATTTCGAGTTATTAACACGTCAAACTTCTCGCATCTTATTTTATTAAATACATCAATGATTAGTATTAGTATATCATGCTAGTATTAGTATATCATGCTAGTATTAGTATATCATACTAATATTAGTATATCATACTAGTATTAGTATATCATGCTAGTATTAGTATATCATACTAATATTAGTATATCATACTAGTATTAGTATATTAAGTATATCATACGGAGGAACACATTTCCATTTGGTTCCAGTTTTCATACCGTCGATACAGAATATTTTTATTTCGTACAAATATCTGCAGCCTACTAACGATGTACGCACAGCTATGCAGGAACATCTTAATCTTATGCTACCAATGGGCATTTTCCTGATGCCGTGATTTCCTAATTTCTATCTCCCATTTCCTAATGACTATGAAAATAATACGAAGAGTGGTTAGAATTTTTTTAAATTGCTTTTCAACCTCTACGCTTTCAGAATTTCCTCAATTTTTTATTTCACAAATTCCACCGAGCCTCCAGTTTCCCGAATTTTTCACGTTCCTCTGAATTTCCTGGGTTCCACAATTTTTCAAGTTTCTCCGTTTTTCAAAATCCATCAGATATTCTCGGCTCTGCAATTTGTTAACCAGAGTAAACGGTAAGTTCTACGAGGAGAAGAAACGAGTGCCGACAATTAACGAGGCACATCTGGAAAAAGTTTTATATGCTTTTACAGAACGATTGATTGAACAGTCCTTTATTGGAGGCCGTTCAATGATCGATCAAACTGATTGTCAAGAATACACGTTTAATCAGCATGCGACGTTCTTTCAGTCGCGTCCCAGCTCGTTCCGCCGCCCCCCTCCCCCCCGAGATCCTTCATCGATGGGTTAATTACGTAAGTTAATTATGGAGAGTTTTCCGAGCAGTTTCAAACGCCCGGAATCTCCTGGAATGTAGCCTGTGATCGAAACCTGTCCGCCGGAGAATAAAGGGAACGAGAATTAGGGTGAATAAAGAGAATTACTCTCTCATCAATTCGCGTTTCCTTTCGGAACGGTTTTGTACAGTTTCGTCGAGTAGATTCCACGGTAAATTCTTCGGCTCGTTTTTTTTACGCCGATCTATTAGTTTTTCGTCGCTGCTCGGTCGACCAGACCCCCGTCGATTTTATCTCGATGCAATTTAACCCTGAACTGTTCCAAAATGTAATTAAAAACTCGTTCGCACTTTTATTCGATCGTATCTTTCGGTCGATCTTACATTTTTCTTGGGGATTTCTATGCGAAAAATTCTGTCGCAACGTCTGTTGCAATTTATTTACACGTTATAATTCTATTCATCATGCACGAATTGTGTAATAAATCGCCGCTGATCGCTGTCATTCCCCTTTCCCAATGTTTGCACGAGCATTTGCGGTTGGAATTTATTAATGCGATCGACAAGTTATGTTTGCATTAATTAATTTTCGCACGGTACTCCATTTCAAACCTTACATAAACAACCGAACAGGATTCAACCCGTTGCAATGTAATATCGTATCAGGCACGTGACGATATAAATTTCGTACATAATTTATTGAAAATAAAAATAAATTTAAATAAAATTCTTTAAATCAAAATAAAATTCGATCTTTCTCTGTTGCCGATAACTGGCATAGAATAGACGTTGATTTTCTCGCTCTTAAAATAAAAATGGACGTCCAGATCGGTTTCGTAACACAGTTCCAGAAGGATAC